CAACAGGGAGCCTGCAAATTCAGAATACACAAGGGGCGGAGCTATCATGTCACTCAGAACCTTTTTCATGCATGAGTGAACAAAGCAGTCCCAGAAAGCAGTCCTAGGGACTGCTTGGTCTGCTTTCTAGAGCAGTCCCATAGCAGTCCCAGAGCAGTCCCATAGCGGTCCCACAGCAGTCCCAGAGCGGTCCCAAAGCAGTCCCGGGGACTGCTTTCTGGGACTGCTTAGGTGTCAGGTTGGGTCTGGTTGGTACTGTAGTTACACCCTCCCCAACAAACACAATTTTAGTGTCAATAATCAACAATCTCATCAGAATGTTTTCTAGTCATACTTAATTGCTCGTCATTGAGCTGTGATTTGAGCCCATTAAATTTCTTGGATTTCAGTCCTACACCTTTTATTGCGTGCAATGAAGCCTCTCGCCTCAATATACGTCATCTTCTTTATATAATAATCAATATATTAGCATATTCAAATAAGCCGGAGGCTCAAGTGAGCTTTTCTGATCAAAGAGTGTCCAGCGTACGTTTGTCGTCTGTCATTTGTAAACTTTTCACATTTTTTACTTCTTCTCTAGAACCACTGAGCCAATTTCAACCAAACTTGCCACAACGCATCCTTGAATGAAAAGGAATTAAGTTTCTTTTCAGGTAGTGCCACCCCCTTTTTCAATGGGAGATAATTAAATGTTTTAAAAATCTTCGCAAGAACCACTGGGCCAGGAAAGATGAAAGTTATGTGGAAGCTTCATTACATACTTTATTTTCAAATTTGTTCATATCATAACCTCCGGGGATAGGGTTGGGCCACAAGAGGGGGTCGAAGTTTTACATAGGAATATATAGGAAATATCTTTAAAAATTGTCTTCTCAAGAACAGCTAAGCCATTATTAGTCATATTAATACAGAAGTATCCTCAGGTAGTGTAAATTCAAGTTTGTTCAAATCATGACCCCTGGGGGTAAGGCGGGACCACAACAGTGGGTCAAGGTTTACATAGGAATATATAGGTGTAATGGTTAAGAGGCATTTGAGTAAAACGCATTGAAGACTTCAAAAAAGGAATGACCTGAGAACCCTTGGAATGGACTAGCCTAAGGGCATATAAGGCAAATCTTTGGAAAAATCGGGGATTAAGAAGCTTTAAGGTAGCTAAAGAAGGTAGATGTTGAATCAGCAATAAAGAAGTTAAGGTTTTCCATCCTAATAGTAAAAGATTCAATTTTTTCATAACAGTATTTATTGATATTCTTTTTATTTGATTTAAAAACAAAATGCTCCATAGACTTCAATGCAGTCTTTGTTAAGTACTTACTTAACAAGTAATTTAAGTACTTGTTAAGTACTTACTGTTTAGTTAATTACATTTTGAAACTCTCTTTGGTAAATGCTTTTCTACTGTAAAATGCTTAAAATTAATATTAGAGTATTATGTATGCGATCGACGTTTAAGGATAAAGGATGGAAAACCTTAAGGGTAAGAGTAAATAAAATCATAAAAGTTATAAACACCAGGGCAAGTATCCTGGGGAATTGATGTTAAGTTCTGGGTGTAGTAAATCTGAAGAAGATTGGGACAACTGGTTGTTATATATTAATTGGAACTTAGGGAAGAAACACGCTGCAAGTACAGTCCCTGAAACGTTCTACTTTCCCATTTTTCCGTTCGCTCACCGTTCGTTCAGCGTGCGTTCACCGTTCGTTCACCGTGCGTTCACCGTTCGCTCTCCGTTCACAGTTTTGCGTTCACCGTTCACCGTGCGCTCGCGTTCACCGTTCACAAAGCGTTCAGCGTTCGCTCTTCGTTCGTTCACTTTGCGTTCACCTTGCGTTCAGCGTTCACTTATCGTTCAGTCTTCAGTGTCATTCGGAACTCCGAAGTGAAAAGACTTATCTTTTTTAAGTAAGGATTTACGTTTTTTTTAATTTAATAATTTACATATCGTGTTTAAAGAATCATTATTTCATGGGGAAAAAATTATCCACAATATTCTAACTTGTTATTATTTTACTATTCTAACTTAGATGTAAGGTTATTTATTAATTTACTCTGGAAAATAAATGTTGTTATAAGTATGTACCAAAGTAGAACGATGCTGAAAAATTAAATTTAAACACGGGCAATATACAGATACCTCAAGCACTGCAACATTTTATTGTTATGTTAGACCACAAATCGTTAATAGAGAGATAATTATCCATGTCAAATAATTACGCAGCAAATTTACGAAAATATTTATTTCTAACATATTTCTAACACGTTTTTTTTTCAATTACTACAGAAATATATTATAGAACTAGTTCTGAGAGTTATACATAGTACTGCGGATATCCTGTTAATTTATTACCTTTGGAGCGAATTGAATTGATTATGTGGTTAAAGGAAATATTTATTTAAAATGTAATACACTACAGAATTTTCTCTACTATAATATATAAAGTCTATAGCTAAAGAAAAAATTCTTCCTTCACAATAACTTTGATATGTTTGCCATTCGATATGATTAATAGCAGCCCCCCTTTTTCCCCCTAAATCGGTTACTTATTCAGTATTTCCAGTTTATTTTAATTAACATTTAAAAAGAAGTTAATGTGTTTTGTAGCACAAAACTTTCAGTCTCAAAACAAACATGCATCTAAAAAAGCCACTAAACAATTGTAGTTCAAAATGTACATGTGTCGGCGGTGGTATTTTAAATTGGCAGAGAGTATGTTTCAAATTCAAGAGTTAATGCCCAATGTATTTTATTTATTCATTTATTATTGAAATGTTGGAATCAAATCTAGAAATGATAAAAATAAATGTTAAAACTTGTTGGAAATACTCGCACTTCATCTTCGGTGTGACGAGACTTTCACACCTGCACAGTATCGAATGATTTTGATTGACAGGACAAGCACGTGGACTTCGTGTGAACTTGAGGCAGGAAAATAAAAACGAGTATGACTGTCAAATAGATGGATTAAAATTTTGTTGATTAAAAAAAGGTTACTTTAAACTGTCTGATACATTTAGAAAAATAATTAAGAATTTTTGTTTAATATAGGTACAAACATTTCGTGAAGCCTGAAAGTGGGGGGGGGGCGGAATTTCTCTCTCTCTCTCTCTCTCTCTCTCTCTCTCTCTCTCTCTCTCTCTCTCTCATTTGTCTGTTTAATAAAAAAAAAAATTGACAGCATATTACTTAAATATCAAGTTCTAAAAATTTAATTTATAGCAAATAATATGAATATGCCTCTTCGTATTATCTTGTCCGAGTATGATCACGGGGAAATATATACAGGTACATGTAGAAGTCTGCTCAGTAAATCATCATGGAAAATAGAAATGACACATCAATATATATTATTGCATTAAAAATTTAAATACGAGCGTATTTATACAATACGTCCACTGACCTTTGTAATTATTTTTTTTTCATTATTTTACACGAAATCGCCTTGGCACGGGAATATATGAATGGCCGTTACAACCGTTTTAATTCATTCTATAAGTCAGAAGTTTTCTCATATTTGGAATGGTTTTTTAATTTCAAATAAGAATAAACATATTTATTTTCCAACTAAAATAATTTTATCTTTTATACTACAGCGTTTGGCAACAATTGCAATGTTTTACAGCGATAAAAATCGTGTGATTAAAAACTTAAAGTGCATGCATCGTCTTTCTTAGGATAATTTTGGAGCATTTATTTAATTTATTTATTCATTTATTGATTTGTTTATTTATTATTTTTTTGGCACCTGACATTAGAATGCAATAAAATAGTTTCAATGCAAGGACAAGATCAGAGGCATTCCGAATAAATCGTTCATCTTGCGTTCACCGTTCGTTCACCGTTCACTTTGCGTTCGCGTTTGCGCTCCGTTCGCGTTCTGCGTTCGCTCACCGTTCAGCGTTCACACATCGTTCACCAAGTTGCGTTCAGCGTTCACACATCGTTCACTCACCGTTCGCTCAGCGTTCGTTCAGCGTTCGTTCACCGTTCGTTCAGCGTTCGCTCACCGTTCAAGTGGGAAAGTAGAACGTTTCAGGGACTGTAGTACCTTACCCAGTCCTAATCTCTAGAAAAGAGAAAATTTAAGTATTGTGTGATATACCCTCAGACAGTCTTAATAATCATTCCGATCATTAACTCAGACAGAGTGAAAGGAAAACCTATATATCCCTTATAAGAACCTGATCATACACGTTACATAGAAATATCTTTGAAATCTTCTTCTCAAGAATAACTAAGCCATTATTAGCCATATTTTTGCAGAAGCAACCTTAGATATTGCAGAATCAAGTTTGTTCGAATTATGACCCCCAGGGGTTGGTTGGCGCACAACAGAGGGTCAGTTGGTGATAAGTAGAACAATCTGCGATGTAAAAAGATTATTAGTTAGAGTGGGCGTTTTTGCCCATGGGAAATGTCGGGTGTTCTCGTCTATATCAAGTCTTTAGATTTTGTGATCAACATTAATCCTATTTAAACGCAAAAAACTGCTTAAATTTGTATTAGTATAAAAAAAATTGAATACTGTAATGAATTTTTAAAAGGAGGCAGGGCGACTTTTCTGAAACGTTTTGAGGTTTGATACATATTGGAAATTTTCTTTCAAATCACAGTTGCTTGCTCCTCCATTCTTAAGTAAGGTCAAACACTCTCATTTTAATAAACCTAATATGTTGTTAATCTTCAAATTTCATAATTAAAGACAAGTCTACCTGTAATTTCTTCTTTTTTCTCCTTTTCTTTTGTACTTGTATTTTTTTTTCTTGTCAGCTTTTTTTCTTGGCTTTTTTGTTGCACTTGAATTTTTTATGATACTCTCTCCTGAAAAGCGATACAAAGTAGCGTATTGAGTTGCGGACGTATTATCCATTTCCTGTGTATTCTTTCTGTTTGCCTCTTAATAACTTCAATTTCATTTTTAATTTTAATATTTGTGACATATGATACGCATAGTTAGTAGTATTTAGATTTCTTCTTACAATAGAACCATGGATACGAATGGTAGCGAAACAAACAACTTATAGAGGAACCAGTGGAACTCCTCAAATTTATCGCTACAATAAATGGGGCTATATTTGTGACATTGGATTTGATAAGGATGATGCCAAAGTAGCCTGTCGAGAACTTGGTTTGCCAACGTAAGGTTGCTTTTACATGTACAATGCATTTTGTTTCAATATTCTTTGACAATATTTTTATGATATCTCCATCATAAATCAAACCTTATGAAGATAGCATAAAAAGTCACTGAATGAAAAATTATCTAATTTAAATGTAGTGTTGTTATCTATATTTAAGGGCTTGATACTTTAACTTGTAACAGTGTATGATATATTAAATACCTTGAGCTGTGGCATTACAATTTAATTGTATGATTTATGTCTCTGCTTTACTGGCTTTTTGGGTGTATCCAAAATTGAAATAAAGGCTCGGTTGTGGGATAACAGTATTTAAAAGAAATATAAGAAGGAAACACAAAAATCCTCCGTAAAGCTTCAGCGCTTTCATTACATCTTTATACTTGCTTTGGTGATAAAAAAAAAATTCTTAAGCCTTTGAATAGCAGGATCCAACCTCCTAAACTGAAATTTTATTTAAGAAGTTTTAGCATTGCTTTTTTTGTTTCATTATACTTTTAAAACAGGAAATATGTGCGAGTAGCCTCTGGTATATTTCGAAGAAGTACCAGAATACACCTGATCAATGTCATTTGCAACGGTGATGAGGAAACTCTGTCAGACTGCTATGAGAAATATACTTATCATTACTTCTGTCATGGCTACATCGTGGTGTGGATCTCATGTGATAGTGGTAAGACACGGTTAAAAATTAGTATCTTAATCAACTATAACTATGGAAGAAAAAAAATCTACAATTGGAAATCTTACTCAATTACGACAATAATCTTTTTCAATATACATGTATAATCAATCAAGAGAAAAAAAATGTGAATCTAGTTTCATCACGAACCTGTCTGTTTTTATATTGTTTTGTTTTTTTGCATTTTAGAAAAGCATCCTCCGATACGGCTATAGTTGGGGTCTTAAACAATTACATATTGTTTTCTTGCTTCGAATATTTCTAATTACTACAGGAAGTTTAAAAACTGATTCCTCTGAATCAACTGAATGGCGAGGTTATGATTCTAATTGTTCGCCGAAAATCGTTCAACAGTATTTCACTGTAAATCTTTTTATTATGGACATGTTGGATTCAGACATTAAGTATAGCTAATATATATTACAGGACCTTTTTACTAAAACAAGCGTCACTGATGTAATGCAGCTTAACTCTGACAAAATGTTCATACAATAAAAAAAATAAATCATTAATATTATATATGTACAACGGTACTAGCGTTTTTGACGGTCTTGTGATCTTTCACTATATGTCCATATCTCTTAAATTAGAAAGAAATATTTCACTGAACAAAAATTCCTTTAAAGAAAGTTCTCAGCCTACTCATAGTATTACTTATTTAAAAAAAAAATAACTTATGTACGTTGTCAATATTCTACTTGATTAGGTGCGCTTAGTTATTCATTTCAAAACTGTTTATGCTTTTCTAGAAACCAACAAATTAGATTATCTCCATATAATCTTTAGTTTATGACAAATGGATAGATGTAATTTTATGAATTTTCCATAACATACATGTACATGTATGATATCTTATTATACGAGATCATTTTTCTTAATTTCTACATTTAACCTATTCTATCACTGTTAAAAAAAGTTATTTTTAGAATGCCCTTACATGAAATATGGCGACAATTGTGAAGAAAACTGCAAGTGTAACAGACAGAATACTGCTTCTTGTGATATGGAAACTGGAGAGTGTGTGTGTAAGCCAGGATATACCGGGTTTTCTTGCAACTGTAAAGCTGGTTCTCACACCTGTAACACGACATATTCTGATTGCTTCGAAGAATCGAGTGGGATATACTGTATTTGTAAGAAAGGTTTTTCAAGTCTAGAATACAATTGCACAGGTAAGAAATTTTTTTTGCTGGAGATATATTTATTTTCTTTTTAATTTAAATCGTGTTTATATCCCGTCTAAAATCAATTCAATATAACTTTTATATAATTCACCGTCCCAACTTTTCCGGAAAAAAGACTGTATTCTACTAATATTGGAATGAAAACTTGGACTTCTCACTCAAGCAGAGAGTAACGTTTCATTTTTATGAAAGGTAGTGATATAAAAACATCTAAATAAAACGGTTGAAAATATGATTTATGTTTAAATGTATAATTTGAATAATTCATTTGTAGAAAGATAAGAAAACAATTAATTTTTTTAATTATTTTATTTTTCAACACATTTCATTCTATACAAGATGTCCATTATCTTTCCTATGACAGAATTGTGCATGTATAGAATTACAAGAGAGAGAGAGAGAGAGAGAGAGAGAGAGATTTACAAAAATAGTTGGTCCAGCTGTTCCACTGAGTATCAAATTTATCTTTTTCACCATTTTTATATGATATATATTTTTGTGTTTGGTAAAAACAACTCGTGTGATATCGCAGAGTGCACATATAGAGGTTTTTCAGTACATCTAGACGTATATACATAATATTTTAACCATAAGATTTAGATATCAGCCATTTCATTATTTTTTTCCTCCAATACCGTAAATAAATGATTTTTTTGTTATGGGTAACTGGTTGTTTCTCTGCTGGAGATAATATTCAAAGTTTTCAAGGAGTGAACAATTAAAATTTTGTCTATTTATAATCATTAGAATGTTTTTTTTTCTGAAACAGTCGAAAGTATCATCTTGATAATTTTATTTATTGAATGCATTTGTCGTCTTCTGCTTCTCTTAGTCTCGTCACATCATGTCTACAATTATATTTTGTAGATTTCTTTCAACTCAAAGAACTATATATGACGTGTCTCAAATGGCCCCTAAAAATTAATATCTTATTTTTACTCTATATATAAGTTAACTCTGTGCAGTATCACGCGACATTTATTCGTGTTTTTTTTCCAATTATTTGATCTAATTGCTCTTAAATTAAATAAATATTTCATTACTAACTTCATCTTTTTCCGCCATTTTAGCATATTTGTATGAAATGTTTATCTAAAGTAGTTTTTCTTCTAGAAAATATTGAGCACAGACTTTAACAAATTTTATCTTTTCACCAAAGATGTATCTATCCAAAATTATTAACTAAGAGAAAAAAATTGCTTATTCAAAGCTGTGTTCCATGCTTCCCATAGGATGAATGTCCAGAAAAAGGCACATTTTTTAAACCTTATTTTAATCGGATATCAAAAATAGCATCATTTCTGACGTATTTACAGCCAGTGAATTCACATAAATGAGACAAATAATAAAAAAATTGATATATAGAAATAGCTAAAATTAAACTCATACACAGAATAAAATATAAACTCATACACAGAATAAAATATAAACTTGTACACAGAATTAAAAAAAAAACAATCTCACGTACCGGAATCACATTTAAAAATTTTGATTTATGGGATCCAAAATTGACTTTTATCATGTATAGTCCTTTAATAAATGTCTACCAAAACGATTCTTGTACCCTATATAATCTCTGAGTACATGTATGTTTAGCTTAGTACTTCTTTCAATACTTTTATATCAATAATTCTATATGAAGCGATGGTTTAATTCTTTAAGAAACTATTTTAGATGAAAGATTACTGTCCTTTTTGGATTTGGTTGAAGGTAAAAGTCACATTTCGGGATATTTGCTATGTTCAATACACAAATATTTGATGTTACATTGTTGTTTTACTGATTTAATAAAGATAATTCAATAAGTTGAACATGTTTGATGTATAGAAATTATATAAACTACATAAGTAAAAAATAAATCAGAAATTTATATTGTATGAGGGTTGTCCCAGAAAAACGCGAACTTTTTCAATATTTTTTGTTTCACTAATATTATAAAGTTAAAAATTGTCATGCACCATAATCAATATTTTTTACACAATTCAGAGAAATTTCAATAAAATATCTCTACAAGGACTATTCAAAAAATACGTAGACAATGTTTCTCCTCATCATATTATCTTTACAAAATTAAATATCAATGCATTTTCATTTGTAGAAACATTTATTTTGTCGATATGTGAAGTTTCATTCCATTTGTTTAAATGGAACTCGTGTTAGCCTATTTTAAAAGCAACATGTTTTGTCATCACGGAGCAAAGTTAACAATATTATAACGTCCAAAACAACGTCAAGAAAGTTTCTCAAAGGTACTCGGGGTTTTCATTCCATACACGCGTCTTTTCCATTCATAAAAACGTATCCATAACACATGTCACCTAGTTTGCTAACAATAGTTCCAGTAGCTTAAGTTAGATTGTCAGTGTTTTCAAATTCTTTGCCGCGTAACTCTGCTTTCACAAGTTCCGCAACAGTGAATAGCACATAACTTTTCATGACGTTACTTACTCTTTTGACAAGATTTTAAAATATAATCTGTTTCTTCGCAGACTATCCATCGTCTGATTCAAAATCTCTAATCAAAAATTGTCCTTTCGCCATTTTCACAGTATTGTGATTTTTCATACTCACTAGTGTTATAATGCACTCTGCATCAAAATATATGATTAAACCCTTAACAATTATGACCAAATTATGACCAAATGGTACCCCTAACAAGTTAAATAATATACAACACTCCCATGTTCTATACAATAAAAATATTGAAGATTTACTACTGAAAATATGGGGTATATTATGTGTTATGCTTTTGCAGCTGAAAAATGGCTTTGTTATCCAGTTTTTGTTTCAGGAGATTTACAATAGAAGCTCTTAGTGATAGATGTCAAATTATTGTGAAATTATCCCTCTTTTATATGCAATTTACTTTATGTAAATCAACAAAATATTAGCGAAATTATGTTGAAATATGTGAAAATGCAGATGCGTTATGAAATTTTATATAATTCTACTGTTTGAACTTGCAATTTTAAAAAAATATGTTCATGCATTACTATTACTTTAGGTTCTTTTTAAAAATAGAGTTAAATGATAAATGAAACAGTATAGAAAAGTTTGAGTGGATTCTTCGAAACTTTAGAAAATCATGACACACTTTCTTCTTACTGGCATAAAAATGTCCCAAAATTCTGTAGTGTCCGCAACATGTGCTTATTTTGGAATGCATTGTGAATTATATTTCTTTTATTTTACATGTAAGAAGCCAGTGCAGCTACTAATCTATCTACCAAAAAATATCAGACTTTAACTCAGTGTTGCTTGGAATTCTGGCAAATATATTGTGTTTTGTAGAGTCCGCAACGCTGTAGAGTCCGCAACAGCTTTTTTAATTCAAAGGTTTTTTTTTTTCAAGGAAATGTAACATGATTTCAATTGACCATCACTATAATTATCCAAATATTGAATTAAAACATGTAAGATTACAAAACTTAGTGGAACTAAACTTCAGACTTTAAAATAACACCCCATAACGACTTGTTAATACATATTATTCAAAATCTTTCACTTGTCAGTCTTATGTTATATATTGAAAGTCAATTTTCATGTGGTATTTAAAACTGAATAAGAGGAAACTCAAGAATATATCAATATGTTAATTGTTAATTAATAAGTCTAGTTCTAACTAATGCAGTTGTGTTGCGGACACTACATTAATAACTATATAACACATTCATGTATTATTTTCACTTTTTATTTCATTAAATATTTCTGAAATATGACATACATGTGTACTTCTCTGATATTTAGCTCCTTTGAAAATAAAGTTTGTTAATTGGATTAAGATAACAATTGGTAATTTTGTACAAG